TTCTGATTAGTCGTTATCTCTTTGTTATCGCAGTCAGGGACGTTTAGGTCGGACAAATTTGGCCTGTGCTTCTCTAGCACATACCTGACTGAGGTCGGAACAATCGAATCCTCCATAACGTTGGAGAGGCGCCATGCAGGTTTCACTTTACTGCAAGAATATCGAATATAGACACTGTGCACATGCCGGATATCAGTATAACGGCGATGCTATTGATGGAGGGGAATGCAAGTAGTATGTGTTGTTCTTGGAATTTCGTTTTCCGTTTCTTGAAAAAAGGAAATCTATTGCGGAATTGATGGAGGCGCTTTGTAACATTTGCTTGGATTTGAGTCAATGGATGTCCAGGAAAATTCAACAGAACGCGTTCAGCAGAAGAGGGATGTATAGTTTTTGTAAATAAGATGCAAATGAGAGTTTTGCTTTCCTGTCCAATAGTCTCTAACTGGTCAGTTGGCATTTTCCAATAACTAACTCCGCAGCCAAGGCCGTTTTCCTTTCACCAATATTTGAGTGAACGGTTAAGAAAAATACTCGGAAGTTGGTTTACGTTTTTTTTTTAAAGTCCACATAGTCTCGTTTGAAAATCCTTCCACCTCGACTAAATGCATGGAAAAGGTTTCTGTGGGTGTCCAAATACCGGATCAGGAATGCTAACTTGAGTCTTTCCCGGAAGAATTTAATGAGATACTGGTGCGTACATGCACCCTCTCCCCACATGCGAATGCGTAGTAGATCAGTGTTAAAAATCGTTCATTTGTAGCGCCCTTTCTGTGCCTACGTTCAATGCAATCCTAAGGGAGCTCGTGGGGCTGGGATACTGCCAGGTTGCTAAAGCCAAGACAAGATATGCATCTACGAGCTGTTGAAGACTTCCCCATTTGTGATCACATTTATAAGCCCGAAGCTTCTTCTGGGGTATTCATATCATCAACTGGTTTGTACGTCACCACACCGCTCTCTTCAGTCCGTACAGTCGACGAGCTCAGTGAAACGTGATTATTCAAGACCAAGGAGATTACTGGTATACTCTGTCGGTGGAGGAGACCCACGGATTCCCCAGACAGTCCTCAGACTATATTTTCTCACCATATGAGGCTCAAATGATGGCACAAAACTAACTTTTTGAGAGCCACCGATGGCTCTAACAATTGTAAAGCGATTGCCAAACATTCCAGTAAGTGAATGTCGTAGCACATTGGTCGCGAAGACGTAGAAAGTTTAACCACTGATACCTGAAACTGCTGATGACAGAGTGATGTTGCATTCGCAAGGCACCAAAGTCTTCTCGATATCACATAGAGCCCTTGGAATGTCCTAAGGTCTTGCTGAATGAGTCTTTTTGAGAACACTGTATAGTGTACTGCTCAAACTAGGCTGTGGGGTGTCAGAATAGCTCCTTCACACAAATCGGTCGAGCCTGTGGAGAGGTCGCCGAGATGATTATTTTAGCACCATGACTTCATAAGGGGATTGCACACGACCTCGGACTATGTTTCGCATGGGGTGGGGAAGTTGTCAAGTTTGGTTGAATTGATCTGTGTGCCATCAACTAAGCTAGACTTACCCATTACGACGTCCAACTGCTATAAAAGAATGCATTTACTTGATTTTTACAAAGGATACTATGGCACAAAGAAAACTTCCCCACGGGGTTATGCATTGAGTTGCCGTTGAAATTCGTGGGCTAATCGTGGCTTCGGTGAGTTTTGCAACGAATTCCGGATGAAAAAGACGTACCGGGTATAACCAAGATGCCCGTGACATCGGACGTCAAGGCCATGGTTAAGGGGACCTGAGGACCTTCCGTTTTCAACGATATAAAGCAGACTGTCTTCAAAAATGTGTGAGTAAACTCAGAATACGGAACGGTCAGAAAAAATTACCATCGTTTCGAGAATTATCCTCTGTCAGCCGAGATTTATCCCTGTAAATGAGAGCAGTCTGTACGAACAAGCTATGTTTCAAGAGTCGAGAAACACTGTTCAGCGCTGGCTTTCCTGTGAATCATGTTACACCAATGACGAGAATGATTCGAATCTGAGATCTTCAGGCTAGTCGATGAACACCACACCGTTCGGCAACAAACAGCACATCGGCAGAGACTAACTGTTTAAAGATCGACTTAAAAGCCCCCTCAAACTCCGCAGAGTATTCGTAAGCTATAAGGAGCTCAGAAGGAAGGGTGATTTATTCATGGAGTGGACATTTTGTTTGAAAACTGTTATATCTGCCAATTCGCCAATCTGTGGCGTCTGCTGCTGACCCGCTCCAGTGCCTACTTGCCGGAAAAAAGACTCTTCGAAGGGAACATAACAGATACATTCCAAACAAGCGCGTGAGTGCGCCCGAGTGCGAGTGCAAAAGTTACAACGGCCCCACGCTATTTAAAGGGGACTTTCTTACATTGCTCCAGGCTGTCTGATAGGTGCTTGGTGAGCACCCATCAACATCGATCGTGCTTCTACGAAATGCCTGAACGCTGATCACATTCGGTCGTGCTTCACTGGCATACATGAACACTCATCCGCTTTTGCTGAATTGATTGAATGATTGACTGGCCTGTATGCTTGCCAGCTTTCCTCTTGAGATTTTGGTGGAGCGGGCGTTCTGAAGTCACTTGCAGGAATCTGACCTCCCTGATGAGAGTTTGTCATCCTGAAAGTTCGTGACCCCTCGATGTGGTTCCCGTGATTGAAGCATGAGTGGCCAGTGCGTGTTAAGTGTAGATTTACCACACAGTTTAGCAGCCACTCATTGTCAGACGAATTGTACTTCAGCAAATCGCCGCAATCGCTTCATTCGTATGTTTGATCAAAATGTTCCACGGTTTCGGGTGCTCTCTGACCCCCAAGCAAACTTACATAAGAACTGTAACTTAAAAGGTAAATAGGTGATCACACTTGGCTTTATTCAAACTGTGTTGTACTATGTGATGCACTTTTTATCAGTTAATTCAACCTTGTTTGGTTTCAGGACGTTGAAAACCTGCGAATCATGTTGCATGGCTATTCCTGTCTCTAGTTAACTTCTCTTTTATTCCAATGAGTCTCGATTCTCATTTGTCACTAACGTGTTCAGTTAATGTTCCGCTCAAAGACTTCCCGTCACAGGATGATAATTAAACATGGTGTTCAATTACTAACCTGGTCTATTTGGTCTCTTGTAGCTAACTACCTTAAGGTGGAATTCCTGAAGGCGTCTTAAGTAACTAGAGATGCACAAGATAGTTGGTCACTGCGAGGGTTGGTATACCTGAGAGGGTATATGCAAGACTCGGATGATTCTTTGAGACGATCTCAAACATGACCATGTATGACGTTATTAGGGCTGCTTCAAAAGTCCCTCTGAAGTTTTGCTGCTGTGGCTGATCGCAGATCCGCTGAACACTACCAATTCGCACGGCCAAACGTGTGATGGCTGAATTAAATACGTGCAATGGCAAGCTCATAGTTATAGCTAAAAGATCTTTAGAAAAAATCTGCGTACACAAGTAAGTTTTCCAATTAAAACTTCGTCTTGATCCAATCTATGCCTTGTTTGTACAGGTGTTTCATCCTTAACGGGAGTCATCTGCATCTCATGAAATTCAGATATTCGAACCCACGATCAGTGCACAGCAGACAACGTTTCGGTCATGCGCGGTATGAATGCATAATACGTGTATAAATAGCACGCGACACCATTAGATACCTGAGCAGTCCCCCCCCATAAGTTCCAGTAAGGCAAGACTCCCTCACCCCTGTCGATGTGCTCCTGGATTGAATGAAACCGAGACATTGGCGAATATACACTCTTTTGCAAACTAATTTGGTTCTTACGAGAGACTCACCTGGAACCCAGTTGAACATCATAAACGAGAGATTCAGGTGGGTTCCAGCAACCTTATGAATAGTACATTACAAAGATACATGTATCGCGATATTTCAAATATCGTAGCGACTGAAACATGAGGCGGCTTGGTGCAGCACACTCAGTTGCCTGAGAACATCATAAACGAGAGATTCAGCTGGGTTCCAGGTGAGCCTTTCGAAAAACCAAATTAGCTCGCAAATGGGTGTATATTCGCTAATTTCGTGCGATTTGGTTTCAAGTAGACCATAAGGTTGACGGAAATCCGGGGAATGTGCCTACCTGATGTGCCTCAAGAAGAGCGAAACCGGTCATGGGCTGTCGATGGATTATCAGCAACCTTATGAGTAGTACATTACAAAGGAACCGAGACAGCTAAGTTCCGGGCATCGATGATAGGAAATCGATCACAAGACCGTCGAAAACAACAGTCGAACCTAGAAACTCCGAAAAATTAAATCATCACAGCCAGTCAGTCAAAGCATTTGGGACGTGTCATTCTGAGTTAATTAGCACAAAAACGTTCATTTCTCGCCAACCTAAATAACACGTCCAGATCACGCTGGTGATGGTGTGAATTTACAGTATCGACTGTTAGACTTTAGATTTTCACGCAAGATTTGAGGAGAATTAGAACGTTAGGCTTCTGTTCGTTGAAAGTCCAAGTATACCTAAAATCTGGCGAGTGATGCGCAGTGTAAGACGTCTTTAGAAAGATTTGTTTCGGTTCTACATCCGCTTGTTCGGACGTAAATTTGACGCCACGATTAATTGATCAGGATCAAACTATGCTCTTGTACACTTTGTAAACACACAACCTTCAACGGCGAAAAGGACGAGTCTTTGATACTGAAAGTTCGATCCAGAACACAGATGAAGCACTTGTACATTTCCATGAGTGTCTTCGAGAGAAAAGTACATGTTCCCACTGTCCACTGGTTAACTCAGGATGCTATATCACAATCCAATGGGAAATTAAACCAGCTTCAAATACTATCTGTTACGATTTTGGGGTTTTGCGGGATAGGTATTTTCTTCATAGTCACACTACTCTTGTTTGAACAGTCGTGTTTCTGTTCTGGCGTAATTATTCCGATCAGTCCACATCAAAGGGAAGCACTGGACTCGAGTTGCGCTCTTATTAGAGCTCATCAGCAGTGCATATCCGATGGCCGTGCTGGGATTCAAACCCCGGACTTCTGACATGCGAGGCGAGCTTGTAACCACTATTCCACCAACGCACGTTGAACGCATCTGAATTATCACATCTGAAAAGGCGAACGTGTTCACATTTGAGC